GGGAGTGGGGCCGACCCGGGGTACGTGAAGCATCAACACACGCCAGTTGGCCGGTATCGGCGGCGACCACCTTGACTCCATGCAGCAAACAAGCGGGGGCCGAGTGCGATGGCCACACGGCCATGAACCAGGATGTCCCAAATAGTCACTTGTCTCGGCTGGGAGTCTGGCAAGGAAACTTCTGCCGATGCGCCAGATCTGTCGGGGGGGTTTACGGGTTGAGGGATTTGGGGCCCGTCTATGGAGTCTGAACAGTGCTAACCTGCGAGATCTTTGTTTGCGGAACCACGTTTTCCGCTTCATCCCTGCTGTCGATCAAGTATAATGTCCTTGAGCCTGAAAAGTCACATGTGGAGTGGTAGCATGGAGCCACTGGGGTGTCACTGACGCGTAAGTCAGTCGCCAAGCCGATTGGAAGTGAACAAGATTTTTCGCCCGACCGCCCACCCTTCCAACGGTCCGGCGCGGTGGCCCCGTGTCTTGGGGCGGGGACTTTCAGGAGAGACCATCCAGCCCCCAACACCCTTAGACACTGCAACAGGACCGTTATCGTGGACTGGATCGGTGACCTCGATGGGGCGCACCGCAGGAGCGGGAGTCCCCGTCCTCCTGTGTCGATCCGCCCTCCCGTGATACTTGACATAAGAGGATGGGAGCCTGATTGGATATACTCAATATTGCGTGTGCGCAGCAAAAAGTTTTTGCCGCAGCCAAGTCCTTACGCTCTGCTGTTTGAGTGAAACCCTACTTGCAGCCTAGCCCCTCCGCTGACCACCGCGAGGAGGTTTCTCCCGGAGGCCAGCTTGGACAGAAACCGTCAGATGGATCTAGAGTGATGCGAGCCATGTTGCACAAACACTGTATATTTGAGAACTGGATTTCCCCATCTTTCCAGGCAGTCCAGCCGTCCACAAAGCATTGCCATTGCCACGCACGAATCTGTCCCAAAATTAAGGCGTTGCACATTGTACTCCAGTGCTAATTGATTCTCTTCGTTCGCCAAACAACGAAACTGGATGCCGCCGTGCCCGCAAAAGGTCTTGATTCAGATCCTGAACCCAAGAGGTCCGGTTGCCACTGTGACCAGTGGAGGTTTAAAGAAAAAGCACATCTAAAGCTCCAAACGAATCCGTGCTGGACCCTCCAAACGGGTGCTGCGTTTCGGGTGCTTTCCGGAAACCAACCGGCACAAGGCCACGGAACGGTTCCACCAGCCAGGGATCAATGTCTTCTCCCAACCTTCCTTCAAGTAGACCTGCACAGAACCCGACGGAACCTCACACAGAACCTGACAGTCGAACTCACTCTTCTTCGTTCGCCGCCAATCTCGTGGTGGCGAGAGGAGTCGAACATCCAGGGAAGTCGAACAGCCCCAAAAACACCTCCCGAGTCAGCCACAGGCTGCCGAGTCCTTCGGGGTTCAGAACAGAAGAAGGCGACCCGAAGGAAACGAAGCAATGCAAATGGTTGAATGGCCAAGCACCTAACAGGTAGGCATGCATCTCCATCTTGGAGTGTGTATTGATCATTGTTAATCAATCTATATTACCCTAAGTGGTGAGAATAGATCTGGAAAACCTCCTAGACTTTAAACCCTTGCTGAATCCAACCAGCAGGTCGCACACCCAGTTCCAGCCTCCTTTGCCCGCAGAAAGAGCTCCTGGCGAAAAAAATGTGCCAAAGCTATCTACCCTCCGACTCACTATCATGGAAAATGGCCTTAGGGAAAACTCTTTTCCTCTACAAATATAGGCTTCCCTTTCATGTCAGTGAATTTTAGCGTATGCTCACTGACCCAAAGCCCAGTGAAGCACCGCCGGAAGCGTAGCGTCACACCTGTCATCCACCCTGCAGCGAAACCACGCCTCCAAAGGTTCAACACGTCCCGCGGCTTGTCCCACGGTCAACACGCGCACGCGGGGAACCAGCAGGCGCCTGCGCCTCTGCTGGTTGGCCCTGCTCGTTGAGGTGGTCCCCCACATTCAACGCCACATCCTCGGGACTCCGCCGGCGCGGAGCGTCCGTTCGGAGAGGCTCCAACCAGCTCGGGCCCGTCTGGTCTGGAGGGTCCCCAGGTGGAAGTCTGAGCTCCGAGTTTGGATTTGGAGTCATAGAGTAATGGGATGTAATGCGGTATAAGTAGGTTGGATCTGAAGCGAGCAGGTGATTCGGTCCAACCAGGTTCATGAAGGTCCCATCACCCTCGCTCCAGGTCCGCCCAGTCCAACCCCGTTCCGAGCATCGGCATAGGAAGGGGTGGAAGTGCTGCCGGCCGCCTCGTGTGCTTGCTTCGCCCTGAAATAGGCCTCCGGCTTTCAGAAAAAGAAAGAAACACAAACTTCCAGGGCTGCGAAGTGAAAATCTGCCAGGCTCCTGTGGTCAAATCTGCAAAAATGCCCAGAACTGCGACCCCAAAGCAACAGGCCCGGCTTATGAATTGATGTTCCATCGTATGATGCAAGGCTAAACCAAACATGTTCATTTCACCTGTAGCCAACCACGTGGCATGACGGAGAACAGATGCTTCTTTCCCATTGCACCACCAGGACTCCACCATGTGGTTGACCGACCTGCCATCTACTGCCTTCACGACGGAGTTCGGCCCGTGGCCTCTAAGGCTTCATCCTCCTCCCCCGAGGCACCTCGGTCGAGATCTGGTCCGTGTCCAGGTGTGGGAGGTGACACACTGGTGCACAGAGGCTCTGGAAGTCCGTTGGACCAAGCTTCATGGGTTGATGACCCCCCAGTTCTGGGGCTTTTTCACCTTGTACATCCTTGTACAATGAAGCCGCTTCGCATCAACTATAACCTCTCATGCTTGCTTAATTCTGGAGCGTGAAACTTTAACCAAGTTCGGTGTGATCCCAAGTTCGGCCGAGTGTTCTTATGGGTGTGGAGACAGGTCCCTGACAAGTACTGACAGGTCACCCATGGTTCCACCGGCACGAAGAGACCTCAAAAAGCAACACCTGGACACCCACCAAGAGGGTCAACACATTCGGCTTCCCCCAAGGGCCAATTCTCCATCGATGGTAGCCAGCATGCGCGAACAAGAAGGTATGTGAACATCAACATCTATGTATAGAAACATGTACAGTATATAAACATGTGGAAACTGAGGATCAAAGTACTGGAATCTTCTGCAATGTCTGCAATTCACCTTCCCCTTTACCGATCTCTTGCCACATATCTTCCAGGTGCTCCCCTGAAAAAGCCCTCACCTTCTATTCAAAAAGCCACCCTTCGCGATCTACAGTCGATGAAACACTCGTGTTACACTTCTCTTCGCAAAAAGACCCGCACCGCCCAACCCGCCACCCGCAGCATCCGAGCGGCCCAAAGCAGCGGCGAAGTTCGAAAGCGCCAACGCGAGCGCAGCAGTGCTGCCGTCAATCGAGGACTCCAGCTCTTCGACCTGCTGAAGGGAAGATGAAGGACATGGTCAACACTCGAGCTGGGATGACCTGGTCAAAAGACCACCACTTCATTCGATGATTTCTGGTCACCAGACAATTTATGTATAGGAATATTTGACTACATGAATTCGGGTGCTTTCGAGATGAGACAAACGACTTCAAGGTATAGGTGAATCATGGGCAATCCTTACTCCAGGGCTATGGCTCCAGACATCAACTCTAGGTCTCCAGTCGTACCTTCGTTTCGACGGTGAGACTGGGGAGTTGATTTTTTCAGGGTCCAGTCAAGTTGTACCTTCGTTTCGGAGCTACGACTGGTGGAGCCCTAAGACGAAGAGACTTCGTCGCCCTCACGTCTTCATCGTGCGGAACCGCGCCTCCGTGCGGAACCGCGCCACGTCTGCAGCATCCGGCGCCGCGGGCAGGAAGCCGGACGGGACGTCAGAGGTCAAAATCGCCATGTGAATCGCCGGAGGTCGAAAAGAGCTTTGTGGTGGGAGTACTCTGGATTGATTTGCTGCTGGTTTCTGCTTGTTTTTGCGCCGTGTCCCAATCTGCGTCAAGAGAAAGCATCAATGAGGCATAACTAGTAGGCCTAGGTACTCAGTTTTTCGTGTTCCATCTTGTTCCTATTGGAGGTAGGGTAGGCCAAGGTGTATGCTGTCTTTCAACGTTGAAGCAGAGATGGTTCTCCAGTTGCCGGAAGGCTTAGCAGCTGCTTTCGGGGCTCTTGCAACCTGCTCCTCACATCTTCGGTTCGTGCTCGCAGTGGGGGCCGAAAAGCTGCAAGTCATTCCTCCAAGCGTCTCGAGTTGTACATCCAAGGCTGCCGGAAGGCTTAGCGCCGGCGCCACCGACGCAGAAGTGGACCAATCGGCCCGAACACGTCGGTCCGGTGGCCGGTGAGGTGGACGAGACGTCGTCCATCGAGTCGTCCGTTACAGGGAGGCTTCCGCATGGTCCCGCGTTCGCGCATGAGCTGCCGGGCTGCAACAGGCGGCTTACGAACCACGCAACCGATGTTCAAACACTTGAACTGGTGGGGGACTGATGTGCAGGTGTGGGCACAGTGAGTTCGGACCGAGTTTGTTGGCAGCGACCGGTGTGTCGTGAGAGGATCCAAATCCACTGCAAAGACGTGAAAAGTCGAGAAGTTTCCAGCAAGAGATGGCCCTTATTCCAAGCGCTGTCACAAAATATACGGGAACCCCAAAGTCCTCTTGTTTGCCGGTTTCTCTCACTTCCGTCCCCATTAGGACCACTAGGACTCCAAAAAGTTATCATGTGAACAACACTTTAATCGGGGCTCCTTGTCGGGAGGCAATATAGAAATGTTTTATATAATGAATTCAACCATCAAAGTAAAACTACAAAACAGAACTGCAAATGATTAGTACGGCTGTCAACCCTCAGCCTCTGTCTGCTAGAGTTCTACACCCCATCATGTTCCTGAGCTGCACGACCAACGCCGACTTCTCCCCAGTGGTTCGACTGCGAGAACTCAGCGTGCGTATCGTCCACTCAGCTCACATGTGTCGCGTCAACTCAGCTGTTCCACGTGCTGACGCGTCGTCTGTCCCGTGCCTGCGGGGATCGTGTTGATACACACCGCCACAATGACGAAAAGATTGAAGGCTGCAGACCCCACCTCAAGGTCAATCCGGCCCCTCTACGGGGCAGGAGCGCCCTGCAAACCTTGAGGATGCTGGGGGGTCCGAAAGCTATCTGGAAGCAAAAAGGGATTGGTCCTCTGAGAGGGCAAGTGGAGACATTGTTGAGAATGCTTGGAGGTCCAAACACCTTCTGAGAAGGTATGTGGCATGTGGATCCCTATAGGGCAAAACACTAGACAGTGGAACGTGGAACTGAAAGCAATGCATCTGGTGCCATCAAGACACTTTGGGGAGGCCTTTTTCAACCAGAGATGTCGACCGCCCCACCCTTGCGACCCCGAACCGGGACCTTGCGCTCGACCACCACCACCACCACCACCACCACCACCCGAGCGGTCGCATGCACGACCTTGCGGTCGCCTGCTGCCCAGGTGGCAATGGTGGAAGCTCCCAACTTTCCCTGCACGAAGGTCCGCTTGACGATGTCGTTGAGGGAAAGCATGATCTCCGGCGCTGAGGACCTAGGAGGGCCCAGGGACAGATGGACCGATCGGTGAAGAAAAAGAGCGGAACAAGAGCGACAAGGGAACTGGCGCAAACTGGTGGCAAGGGTCCCAAGTGCACTTACCAAAAACCAAGGAAGACGTCCAGGTGTATGGAATCAGCCGGAAGAATCATCGACCTTGGATCAGGAGTCTGCTATTTTCAGGCCCTGCCGGGCACCATGCTCCAAAAGGTGCTCGTGATATCCTCAAAAAATGTTCGTTCCCCTGAAAGTTCACTTGGTAAGGGCCCATGTATAGCAGCTAAGCCGATTCAGAAGTGTGTGTATAATTGTATATCTGTATAAGTCTGTATATATATGATATTATATACCAGCACCTCCAACAGGTCACCAATTGAAAACTCTTTTTGGGCCTTTCCCAACCCTCCATTTCGGAGACCTGAGTCCAGTCGGGTGCTGGTATACTATCACCATTTCACACACCTCGGACTTCGACCCCCTACATCTGCCATGCTCCTGGCCTCATTCCCCCTGAACTCCACCTGAACTCCGAAGGTCGCTGTGCGGTGCATCGTCTCGGTCGTCTCGGTGAGGGGGCCCTTTCGACCCCTGCGACACGGTGCCCCGGTTGGACAGGAAACGGGTCGTCTCAAGCAACGTTCGTACCGGATCCTCCCGATGTTTGGGGATCCGTTTTGGAGGGTCGAAGCAGTGACCTTTCAAGGGTGACCTGGATTGGTTGTTGGGACTCCTCTTTGGGGTTGAACCCCAAACTTCTGGGGGGGGGTCCAAGGAGGGCGAAACCACGTGCACCCGACACTCGAACCACGCGACGACGCGCAGAAACGGCGCTTCTTGGCCCACCCTGCGACGCGCTGCCCGTTCCGTGCCCTCGTCCCCTGTTTCCGCACCCCAGCGACCCAAGCGCCATCAAAGTCAAGGTTGCCACTGTCTCATTCCAAACCTCAGAAGTCGGTCGTGGCCAGGAAGGTCCGGACATCTGAGGGCAGGACGAGAACCACAGGCTGGTCCTCATGTGGCTGCTGGTTCATTCAAGTTCTGTTGGTTGGCTGTATACCTTGTTGCTAGAAGCAAAATGAAAAAAAAAAACTACCTTCAGCAACCAGAATCAGTCACCTGCTTACTAATGGGCGACACAGCAAGTTGTCACCAAAACACTTGTGCTCTGTCCACTGTGGGATCAGCTTCTTGCCCCAGAGTCTGATCACAGCCAAGTGAGCTGTCGTTGAAACTAGTTCTCCAGCCTTGCAAGGACTATTTGGGATCCCCTAGCTGACCCAATCTAGGGTGTTCTCCCCTTCCGAGCACCGGCCATTGATTCATGAGAGGCCAAGTATGTTGATTCATACCACGGAATTCACAACAGCGACCGCGATCCCGGGACATGACATGCAAAACCTTTCTAGTATATAACGATTCTTCCTATGATCTTTGATCGCTGCTAGTAACAAGAAGCTACTAGGTTGGAGGCCATCGCTACCAGGGTGGAGGCCATAACAAGATGCTTTTTTAGGTCTTTGAAGCTTCTTAGTAACAATCGTTGCGCCTTAGCAGACTCTTAGCGATCGGCACCGCAATAAGCAATAAGATGGGCTCATTAATGGGCGAAAGCTGGAAAAAACACTAGATTCGAGATGTGGAAGAAACACCCCTGCAGCTGAAAGATCTCATTTCTCCTGGAGTTGGTCATACTTAAAACACTCAATGAAGTTGGATTTACTGGGTCTTTGGACCAGTACGGCACACTTCCGGCTGTCTGAACTGAATATTAGCCACCTGGATCGACACACCTGGACCATCCTGTCTGGGTGTCCTGTCTGAACAGCCGGATAGTAGTGAGCTGGGTGGTCGAGCCAAGACACCCAGACAGGTTGGTCCTGGTAAATGATGCTTCCTTTCGGTTGAACAAATCCATAACTTACAAAACAAAAGAACAAACGCCTAGACACTGCTTGGGATGTTACAAGCGGAGCCGACCTCCATAGCAAGGGGTCCCGAAGAAAAAGACACGTTCCAAATGCTTCGGGTCCGGATTCTTTAGAATAAGTGGGTGCCCAAATGCGACCCTGGACCCGAATCCGGAGGGTCTGGGGTTTCTCACCAATCCGGTTTTGAGGGACCAGGAAAAGGGCTATTTTCACGGGAGCGTCTGCGAATCCTGACCCCCCTTGGGGTTTCAGTTCGGACATCGACCTGTCTATTATACTCCGCGCGGGGCGAAAGTTCGGGGCCTCTAGACATGAAGACCATGAAGACCGTGAAGAGTCCCTGCCCACGATCAGCGGCCGAACTGCGGCCGAAGCAGACCGGACGGCCTTAAACATCGGTGGACCGTGTTCCGGACCTTGAAAGACCCCATCTTTGGGAGATCTAGAGCTAGAGTTACTCGTATATCAGTTTTTGTCCAGCACCGACTGAAACCAGGTCACCCCATTGAAACCTAGGGCCTTTCCCAACCCTCTGCTCTCGTCCAAGAGGACTCACACAACAACTTCTCCACCACCCATTCTCCAGCCGCATTTCTAGCCGCGGCACTGGTGCTGTGCGAAACCTGTGGCCGGCCGTGACGTGACGCGAACCGCGACGCATGTCCACGGCCATGCGATGGGCATTCTTGTTGCATGGGCATTCTTTTCGCCCCATCTGGGGGTCCCCAAATCCGGACGGCCCCATGGGATGAAGGTCCGCACGTGCTCGGCTCGGGAACTTCCGCTCACACCCGTCGTCAACAGAAAGGACGTGATGACCCAAAGGACTAGAGCGAAACACTAACTATAATATAGACTCTTTTTCCAGGGGCCCGTAGGGGGGGTGTCGAATGAGAGGCCCCTTAGAGGTTTTTCTTGGGGTGTCCTTTGACCACCGTTAGAGGCCTTAGGGGCTCTGGTAATATCACTCTTCAGTTCCAAACATACAGGTGTGAAGTCCAAGTGAAGTGCAACGCCTCTCAAAGCGGACCTTGTGAAGGTCGGTTTGTTTCTAGGTCGACGCCCCAATTTCCATACAGGTCGACAGCGCAACTCAGCCCTCTCACTGGGTCTGAGAACATGCAAAAGCAGGCACTCGACGAGTAGCAGGTTTTACATGGTCCTTGGACTGGTAGAAATACATGTTTGACTTACAGGGACCCTGACAATTCATCCGTGGTTTCGACCATGTTCCTCAATCCAGTGCTTTTCAGTGGTCCATTGGAATCGACCAGGGCGGGGGGGGCGACGAACCACTCCATCCCCATGTGCCACTCGCCGGCCACCCCAACGTGTCCCCGAGGAATCGATCCTGGCCCAGTGAATCGGTTCACCAGAGGCAGAAGTTCGACCTTCTCTGCCGTATTCTCTGCGTTTTGCAACTCAGCAGCTGAAAATGCCACATCTGTAGATAGCAGTTTAAACATGTTTCAACTGGCCTGAACCCCCCAACTTCTTTGTATCACCGGACGCCCCGTCCACGCCCCGTCCACGCAAAAGCACCCGTCCCGATCCCGTACCGGCTCGATGATCCCGAAACCACTTCCCCTCTTCTTTCGGCTCACCTCTTTGAGGTCCCGATCTGCACGCAGCGCTGCACGCTGGTGACACGCTCGATGGCTGACATGAACAAATCAGCCACCTCGCGAGCCGGTCGCTGCAAGCCGCTGCGAACAAAAGAGGAGGGAGGGTGTGTTCTACCGCCCAAACGCGCACGCCCTGGGGGGGTCAAATCATTGGATTTGATTTCGAAGTGCCTAGGTGACCCTGCTGAACATCCATGGGTGGTCTTTCGTGCGGGGAAACCGAACGAAGAGACGTTGGCACCGGTGGTCAGAGCTCGTGAGGAAGGAGCTCGTTCCGTGAGGGGAGCGCCCGCAGGTGACCTGAAGCACTAATGGATGGTCCACACTCAATCCAAGCCCAAAGAATCATCCAGAAATGGGTCCATCCATTCGGTCTGAATGGTCCATCGAAATCTTGATTCGAATGGTTTTGGGGATTTGGGGCACATGCCCTCCGTCCGACTCCGACTCTTGCTGAAGATATAACTCTTCACAAACACAAGCTTAATTAGGGTCAGGAAATGTGCTGTGGCCCAAATGGACCTGCTGACAGAAAAGCAGCTGGCAAGTGAGGGCAGAATATCTTTTGCAAAACTTGAGATACTTGCCCCATCCACTGTAAACATCTTCAGGGAAAGGGGATGTCTTCCAGTAGAATCTGATGGTTGCTGGGGGGAAAAATAGAAAACTTCCGTTCATCGGTTCAAGCAATTCTCCTTGGAATACCATGGAAACCCACTATGTGAGGCATCTGCTATTGGAGGTGGCATCAAGAATCCGCTGAAAATCGCAAGCGATTCACCGTTCCTGTCCATCGCCAAAACCACCATGACCGTTTCGAAAAGTTGCCATGTAACGTCTTTGCCCTGCACTTCGACTGCCCAAGGCACTATACTGACGCCCATGAAGCTATATATTAATCCCATGAAGTAGAGCACCATCCGCACCTCACACCATCGCGCGTTCGGCCGCCACACCGAAAACACGTGCCACGTCAAAAACACATGCACACATCCCGGAACAACAAAAAACCATCTAGTTTAACTTGTGGCCCAGAGGGGTGGCGAAAGCTAGGCAAAGAAACAACGCTGGGGCTCTTTAGGCAGCAAAAGCCTGGCCGGGAATCCCAACATGCCATGGCCAAGGGAAAAGGAGAGTGCCAACAGCGCCCCCCCCAATACGACCCCAACACAGCCAACACATGGCAACACACAAGCACCCCAGCAACCGCAGCAGCAACAGCCACAACAACAATAACTGTAACCAGCAGCGGCAGCGGCAGCAAGCAGAAGCTACCAAGCAGCAGCAGAAGCAGCAGCAGGAGTAGCTAGCAAGCAGCAGCACCAGCAGCAGCTACCAAGCAGCAGCAGCAGCAGCTACCAAGCAGCAGCAGCAGCAGCAGCAGCAGCTACCAAGCAGCAGCAGCAGCAGCAACAGCTACCAAGCAACAGCGGCAGCAGCTACCAAGCAGCAGCAGCTACCAAGCAGCAGCAGCAGCTACCAAGCACCAGCAGCATCAGCTACCAAGCAGCAGCAGCAGCAGCAGCAGCAGCAGCAGCAGCTACCAAGCAGCAGCAGCATCGGCAGCAGCTACCAAGCAGCAGCAGCAGCAGCAGCAGCAGCTACCAAGCAGCAGCAGCATCAACAGCAGCTACCAAGCAGCAGCAGCAGCAGCAGCAGCAGCAGCAGCAAGCAGGAGCAGCTACCAAGCAGCAGCAGCAGCAGCAGCTACCAAGCAACAGCAGCATCAGCTACCAAGCAAGCAGCAGCAGCAGCAGTAGCAGAGAAGCAGCAGCAGCAGTAGCAGCAGCAGCAGCAGCTACCAAGCAGCAGCAGCATCAGCAGCAGCTACCAAGAGCAGCAGCAGCAGCAGCAGCCACCAAGCAGCAGCAGCAGCAGCTACCAAGCAGCAGCAGCAGCATCAGCCACCAAGCAGCAGCAGCAGCATCAGCAGCAGCTACCAAGCAGCAGCAGCAGCAGCAGCGGCAGCAGCAGCAGCAGCAGCTACTAAGCAGCAGCTACCAAGCAGCAGCAGCATCAGCAGCAGCCACCAAGCAGCAGCAGCAGCAGCAGCTACCAAGCAGCAGCAGCAGCTACCAAGCAGCAGCAGCAGCAGCAGCTACCAAGCAGCACCACCAGCTACCAAGCAGCAGCAGCAGGGAAAGAGTGAGCTTTCCTTAGAGTCTTTCGTGCCCCAAGATTGGTCTCGAACAACAACACATATAGGTGCTGCCTGAGTCATTGTAGAAGGGCGACGTGGAAAGACAGATATATCTGATATATCTGTTTTTTCCACAAATAAATGCTGACGCTGCAGCCAGCAGCGGTGTGCATGATTGACATCTAGGGGTTGCATGCGAACATGTGTCAGCGACCTCAGACTCCGTGGCAACGCTTGTGCATGCTCCCTGTCGCTCGAACATGGAACGCGGACTACCATGAGTGAAGCAAACAGCCCGTTCAAACATCGTACTGGGTTCTGTCATTCATGTGTGTAGTAAGTATCATCTTTTGATCTGCATGGATAGCGGATAGTGCATTCTGATTTGTACTCTTGGGGGTTGTGGGGTGGGTACATGCCTGTACAAGCTTCTTAAGGATATAATGAAATTAGCATCGCTTCACGACTCAGAGGGAATGCAACTACTCTCAATTCTAACGAATAGGCTTTCTTCAGCACCGACAGCAGCCAACAACCCCAAACAGCAACAGCAGCAAAACGGAGCAGACAACAAGCAGCAGGCAGCCAGCACCCAGCAGCAGCAAGCATGCAAGCAGCAAGCAGCAGCAACCAGCAAGCAGCCAAGAGCATCCAGCAGCACCAAGCATGCAAGCAGCAAACAGCAGCTACCAGCAAGCAGCCAAGAGCCAGGTGCAGATGAGAGGATGAGATGCCAGCAGCAGCAGCGACCAAGCAGCAGCAGCAGCAGGTACCGAGGAGGAGAAGGGTGGAGTTGAACCCCGCGAGGGGGGGGGGGTGTAGTCCTGATATATCAGGTAATAGCACTCAGGTCCTGGGCTCCCACCCTCCTTGCTAAAGCAAGACAGACTCCAGCTAGCTACAGCTAGCTTTCGTGACAAAAAAACCGAGGCCCCCCTTGCAAGGCGGGCGGTAGACCCTTGTGATAGAAATGGAGTTCGCCCTGCTCGTATGGCTGACACTTGTTGACAGAGAAGAGCTCATCTGCCCCTGGAGAATATTGGCATCCCCTGCCACCCAGCATGCTGATCCTTAGAAACCAAGACCATTCGTATGGGGATCATCGAGTTGGACAACATATAGGTGCATGTGTAGGACCTGGTACAGGTGACTCAGGATGGCCCAAGTCTCCAAGACATTCTCAAGACATTCGGGAGACCTCAATGACTCAAGCATCCCCACAAAAACAGCACCTCTTCTGAAAACTGCTTACACGCCTGCTTACTTCGGCGTGTTCTTAGGTCTCAAAACAAGACCAAGACGACCTGCTGTTCTCTCTCATTTGTTTCGCCCCAACCAAACCGGTGGAACACCGGGTGGTTCCACCGGCGGTCCCCTCCAAACACCGGTGCCAAGTGTCTCTCGGATTGAGCTCGATCTCCCAGTCGCCACCCAGGGGCAGCAACTGACCGCTCCCCCCGGGCTCGCAAATACGAGCCTCCTGAGGAAGAGAGAACCAGTTCAAGCACACACAAACAATGATATTATGGAAATTAAAGATAGGATTGAATCATATGTATATAACTAGATAGATAGAGATATACATATATAATCATATATATATTATATTATATTATATTATATTATATTGTAGTGTATTATATTATATTATATTATATTATATTATATTAGATTATGATGATGATGATGATGATGATGATGATGATGATGATGATGATGCTGATGCTGATGATGATGATGATGATGCTGATGATGACATGTTCATGTGCTTGAACCAGAGAAATCCTATGACATCGCTTTGGTGAAAACCACGTACTTCGCTTACTTCGCTTACGCGTCTGGAGGGACTGACGGACGTCGCCACCTGACCGGACCGGTTCACCTACCCGGTGAACCAGTTCGACGAACACACGGAGTACCTGGAGCACCCCTGGGAAATGAACGACCCATCTGCCAGGTGGAACACGATCCATCCCCAAGTGGTGCTTGTGCTGGTCTGAACATGGCATTGATTTGTTGGTATGTTTGTGTATAGCTTCGCTTGGGGTCCAACAACTCGCTAGCTGTGTTGCTTCGGGGTTTCGGGGCCCAGGGGGGGAGTCGTTCCCTTCTGAAGATATGGAGCCGGAGCGTCTCCCGAACCCAGATGCCATGGGAGATCCTACCCGGCCAAAAACATCTTGCCCTATCATACGAGCAGGGTCAAAAAGAAATTCTCCAGTGGGTTGGTAGCTAGCATGTCTACAGAGCACCTCCCCAAGAAAAAATCACAACACCTACCCTGCCGCCCACCTCGAGGAGGGTGGCATTGTCTTCCATGGCTTCGGCGCCTGCATGTCATCGCGCCCACGACCGCGCCAAAAAAACAATAAACAACCACGGCCGTGTGAACTCCGCAGGGCCGTGTGAACTCCGCAGGGCCGTGAGAAGAAAGGAACAGTTGGTCCGAAGAAAAACAGGAAGAAGACGAATAGCAATTCTTTGGCTCCAAGAATCAAGACCATATGATAGTAGCGTCCTTGCTCCTAGTAGCGGCCTCCAACCGAATAGCGATGGCCTCCACCTAGCAGCTTCCAGCTACTAGTAGCTTCTGGTTCCTCCCAAAAAGGGGCCGGGACGATCCGAACTTGGGTCTTCCTCTCCTTCCTCGCTTTCACCCCGCGATGTATTCCGCGAGTCTGCCGTCTGGGGACGCGATGGGCGTTCCCAGAGACCGATGGAGGTGGAACGAAAGACTGGACATTCGAAGCGTTCTGCTTGAGAAGCCGCCTCTTTCTAGAAGCCTTTGGATGCTGTCAGAATCTCCTAGATTTCTGGGACTCACCCTTCACGTGCACCGTCCAAATCCGCTCCGCTGTGGCGGTCATCACGGCGGTCCGTGGGCGCCTGCGGTTTTTTTGGGGGCTCGGGCGGGGGTCTTCACCCGCTTGAGCCCGTCATGGCAACTGCAACGCACCGCGTGAATCGACCGACTTTGACGACTCCTTTCACCCGACTCCCGGTCCGGTTTTTGGGAGACCTGAAGCTAGGACCTAAGACCGGACTGGAGTATTCTGGTGGAATGGACGAACAAGGACGGTCCAACTCTCTTGGAACCTATAGGGATTTGCTGAGAACCCCCAAGCCCTGGAAGATTTCGGGTCCCATAGCTATAGACACTCCATAACACTGGCACAGATGCTGATCAGTTGTGCTAGTCTGGGAGAAAATCGGGTGCAGACTTCACCTCCTTTTTGTAGGGATCGCACGGCACCGCCTCCGCTGTGCTCGCCGCTTTGACTGTCCGCGATATAGGGATCGCAAAATGCGGTTTCTTGCGACGTCGAAGAAGTGGATGCGCGATACGTCGAAGTGACTGGCCCCAAAAGCCCGAGAGGCTCCGTGAGGGAGACACCGGAGAGGCTGGAGCTACAGAGCTACACCACCTTACGAAGCTCGGCAGAAGCTTCGATGGAAGTTTCTCCTGAGCTCATGGGGATTCTGAAAGATACCCAAACCACTTGGTCCGCAGAAATGGTCAAGTTTTCTCCTCACCCACACAGCTTTTTGAGCGTCTTTCACGACACCTTTGAAGGGAATTGACCTCTTCATCTCTCTAAGGATGGTGAAAAGATGTTACACTCCGACTCACTAACATGGAAGTGGAAAACCCCCTGTTTGTAAAGGAAAGTAGTCTTCCAAAAGGCAGTTTTCCACTTCCATGTTAGTGAGTCATAGTGTAAAAGAACCCTCCACCATCTGGGCATTGAATGATCCCTGGATTATTCGGGATCCTTTCTGGCTGATCCAGCAAAGAGGGTCGACCGTGGTTTGGCTGCGGGGGTGAGACCGGCGAGCAAATGAAATCCACCCTTCCAAAAGAACAAAGACTCGACTCGCGGAGAAACCCTACCGAAGCGGAAGAAAAGAAACACCTGAGATCAACCGCAAATGGCTGGAATTTCTCCGACCGCAACCGCTCCCTGCCCGGCTAGCTCGTAAGGCCTTGCTTCAGCAATCATGTCCTCTTGCAAATAGAGGGGTCAATGCCAGGTACGCAGTGGGTTTGGTGGGGGACCACCGAGCATAGCGTCTGAAAGCTATTATGTTCATAGCGTCTTGTTAGTAGCGATGGCCTCCAACCTACTTGCGATGGCCTCCACCTAGTAGCGTTCTTGCTGCTAGGAGGGTTTGACCCACTGCCATCATGTCAACATCGACTCCGATGGGGAGACCCCCAAGGCAGCCACCAGTCGAGCGAAGGGGTGGCTCGGGGTGTGCGCATTTCCTGGCAAAGCCAGCCGCGCGTGCTGACCGCGTGGAGGACGGGAGCGGAAGAGAGGTACACAGTGACCACGGAAATAAATCAACCCTACCAGGAGTCACGTCGGGGTGGTGTTTGGTCCCATCCAGTGAGTGGATGTTCTGGGCACCCCTAACCTCCATTAAGCACTCCTTTGTGACTGCTGGTACATGCATATACATGGATTGTTGGGGTCATCATGTATATACATATATATATATATATGTGTGTGTGTGTGTGTTTTATATGTATATATATACAAGAGAGAGAGAGAGAGGAAGAGATTCATATGTGTCAGTACCATGGAGTATCTGGGAAATAACACACCAGGAGCCTCCAGTGCGTGGTCTTTCAGGTTGCGAAGGGCCCCTTTTGTTCCTCCAGTGAAGAATCCCACGCATCATTCCAGGTGCTGCTTCAAGTGCTTCTTCGGGAAGCAAAACTTGTATGGAAAAATGACTCCATGAATGTGTCATCCAAACATCCCAGCTTGTGCGAGAGAAGGAAAGTTTGGACTCCAGGATCATCGTGGGGCCTGTTGACAGACATGAAACAAATGCATGAAACATGATGCTACTAGTAGCAAGAAGCTACTAGTAACAAGGGCATGACCACTAGTAGCTAGAAGCTACTACTAGCTATGCCCTTGTTACTACTAGTTGATGTTTAAAAATGCAAAAAGGATCCCCCCACCCGATGAATCCGAGAATGTGGGACCGAGCCGACTCAAGACAGCTGCATCGTCGTTCCTCCCCGAGCTCGACGTTCCAGCTGTTCTATCACTCCTGGGGAAGACGCCCCTCAAAAAAAGATTGTTTTGCAGGTGATCCACTTTTCCTGGGTAGTATATTAGAATGATTTTAGACGGCCTCCCCACGCGGCCCTTTCTTGACGCTCAAGCTACTAAGCTACCAAGTCTTCTCTCTTCCTTCTTTGCATCTTCTGAGTGAAGTTGTTTGGGTGTTTGAACAGAAACTAGGTACGAGTATTATATAACAACCATTACCACAAGCACACAAACTTGACCAGAAAAAAGAACCTGTCGTACACCCAAAGCGGGGTCACTAAGATTGCTTCAGAACTGGTGGCCAACCTGTCTGGATTGCACCAACAAAACCTGCCACCCCCAAATCAGCACCTGAAATGTACAAAGCCTGCAAATTAGCCAGCTGGAAATCCAAACAACCAGAACAGAAACAAGTGGTTGTTTCAATAGAGCAGTTCGCGTAAACGGGTGGTTTTTCGGGGGAACATCCATGTGTTTCTGGGTGGGACAGACTTTCCAGGTAGACATCTTTCAAATCTCTTGTCACATTCTTCACCCGCTGTACTCCTCCACATCTATGTCCTGTCCTCAAAAGATCACTCCATTCGAATCCCATTCAAAAGCCAGTACAAGGTTCTGAAATTCCGTTCACCCAGTGCTTTTATCCCACCGATCTCAGGTTTCTTCGGGAAAAAACACCACAAGCCTCCCATGCTTCACGCTTCTGCAACCACCACCAGGGAACCCCTGCGGCCGTCCATCGCCCGGTCGCCTGCGGCCGGGATCCGTGAGGGAACCGTTTTGGACTTCTTGGCCCAGGCCTGCCGTCGCGGCTCGCGTGACCGCGCGTGGCGAAGAATCCACCGTTGGCGGGAAGCAAAGAGGAGATGTCCAGCCCTAACTGCTGTGCTGTTTTTTGGGGGATGCGTTGAAAGAGAAGTCGTGTTCTCCTGTTGAGAACTATAGTAGACAAGTCCTCTTTTTTCAGAGGGGGGGTAGAGGGTCAGTTCCTTCCAAAACGTGTCAATTCCTTTGGAGAGCCGTCTTCCCATCGGGCCGTCTTCCCATCGGGCAGCCACCAGCGGAAGGAAGGTGAAGAGGCTCTACCCAGCTACCCTCCCTTCATCCCTGACTCAACGAGGGTCGTTGAGTCAGAAGACTCATGTTGAAAAAGGAATGTTTTGGGGGAAACGTCTTCCCATGTCTATGCTGACCTTCTTGTGCTCCTAGTGAGGTAGTTGCAAGTTCAAACAATCTTGGGAAAGGCAAGTCAAGTGCGGCATGACCTTACCCTTCCTTCAAACAGGTTGGCGAGGACTCGTGACTCTATCGTAGTTCTTGTCAAATGGAAAGAAGGTAGATGTTCTCCGGTAAGCATGGTTCTTCTCAACATGGAAGAATGCCCCAGCAACATAAAAACATCTGACATCTTCCAACCAAAATCCTGTGATGAGGATGCATCAAGTTGAGGACTTCAAAGGGTGTGTCCTGCTGAATTGTGGGTTGCATCAGCCTCTGTCCTGCTGCCATCCACCCCGACATTCACAGCGTTCCCCGCCCGCTGGGCCCGAGAAGAAGGCGGTGGGTTGAGCTTCTGCAAGCGAGTCCAGTAGCCCTCCCGCAGGGCGTAGGACCTTATATCGAGCAAACAAAAAAATCCAGCCACCCTCAGCAGGAGAATGGATTCAAGGCACTCAAGGGGCCCTCACTTTGAGGTCCAAACTTTGGTGCTCTTTTGAAAAACGCAGGTGTTGAGATCTGATCTAACGAGGCGGCTGGTTCTTGTAAAATCCCCCTGTCACCTAAGCAAAAGCTCTCTGGTCACCCGGCCTTTGATGAAACCTTCTGTGTGAACCTCCCATTTCGTCACCTCATTTGACTGGAGGTCATACAGAAACACGACTCAAGGAGGCCCAAGAGCAGGTTTTACCGGGTCAGACTAGACTTCTTTTTGGGGGTCTCCGGTGAGAATTCTCCGTCTGGAGCCAGTTCGATCTTGGGAAAAAACCACCTTTCACCCCGTTCGACTCGCCTTCTTCGGGTCTTCAAAAGGACACCGACCCCAAGAGACAGCGCACAGCGCGGCGAAACGGCTGCGAAACGGCTCCGAACGGCTCCGAACCGGCTCCGAAGCGGCGCGCCGAAGGGTCGGAGACCGTGGTGACCGCGGTTTGGGAGCACAGGACAGGAGAGCGAACGTGGTGACAGCGGGCCGCGGAAGGTGGACATGGTTCAAAACAAGGAAAGAATGGGAAGAAGAACCATCATCTCAACCTCAAAACGACCCGCTTCATGGGTGCATGGCCAATTCAATCGGATTTCCGCATCCCAAGTCAGACTTGAAACAGGTCCGGAAGACGTTCTACTCTCGCAAGTCCAAAGGCTCACTGCATCTGGCATGATGTGGTCTGGTTAAGTTTTGGTATGAATCGCCACCTGCCACTCTCCCAGGGAGTGATCCCATCTCCTTCACCAGCCACCCTGCCCCAACAATCTACGACAAGCAGCCGCACCTGGCTGATTCTCAGGAGTGGAGATGAGAGCCCTCGTGAGATTCACTCCTTAATCTCTTTCTTTTTTGTTGTTTTCCGTTTCCGTCATAGTAAATTGAGTCTCCCTCTCCCCGGCTGGTCCATTGGAGACGAAGACACCCGACCGTTGTGGCTCAAGGATGTTCATGTGGCTTCGGTTTGAGCGTTTCAGCAAGGGCCTCTGGTCACCCCACCCCGTGTATCGACCTCCAGGACAGGACAGTGTAGAGTAGTCTATTGGTGACCCAGACAGGATGATTTCAGGGATATGGTACACTCTGACTCAAACATGGAAGAGGATGGCATGGTCCCTTGGAAGACGACGAACTCCTCTACAAACAAGGGGTGAACTACACTTCCATGCTAGTGAGTCACATGATCACCTTGCTGAGGAAGAGATGGCACCGAGGTGTATCATCAGGCTCGTGACGAATCCCATCCTTCAATGAATCCCAGGTGGATGCGAAGATTCGTCATGCAAAGCTGTGGAAATGAGAGGAACTTCCGTCCGTTTTCAGCCGGTCACGCCTCTGAAACTTCGGAGATCGCAACGGCACATGTCTGCCACTTCTCTCGCAACGGCACGAGGGTGACAACCCATTCTCTGGGAGCGACGTGCGGCGCCGCGTCCGTGTTCCACACCCAGCCTCGCCATTCTCGATCCATTCCTACCGCTTGCGCGGTTGAAGGGCCCAGGGAAAGCGGAATTCTGCGGACCAAGCTCTTTCGGATGGAAAACGTCGGACCCGGACCAGTCGCCGCAAGTCCGGTCCCACAGCTGGCGCCATGCCCAATCCCCAGGCCAGGCTGGCGATATCTTTACGCTGTGGAAGACCAGGACCTGTTGGAGGTCGCTCTTATGAGTGGAGTACCGGGAGCTCTTGCCGCTTGGGTTCGGCGTTCATCTTTCGGATTGGTCACTCTGGTGCGCCGCCGAGCTCAGCAATTCTCCACCATTCCGTTTGGGCTCCTGTCCCATATCCTCAGTGGTTAGACCACCCTGGCACCCACCCCAACCATGGCATCTTCGACCGTCCTGCAAATGTAGACTGATTAAGAACCAAAAGAAACTACAGTACCTGGTATTACCTGGTTCTTCCGTTCATGACCGAAGCCCTGGTTGGTTCGGTCACTTATAAAAAAAAGCCTATTTGGCCGTTTGTTCGTTCTCCCAAACTCTCAAGGTCACGAACTCTCAAGATGGTACATCGAGATCGGAGGGCCGAGGGTATCCGGGAATCCGGGTATCCTTCATCCACACGGCTCCCCGCACCGAACCACGTCTCCCCAACGCACCGAGCGCGTTTGGTCCGCGCGCGCTTTTTTTTCCGCGCGCGCCCCTTTCGTCGCAGCCCGTCGCTCCGGTCGCCGAGGCACCCCCCCCGCAGCTGCCCCCAGTTGATCCGATCCGGACCGAGTCTTTTAGACGCCTGGGGGAGGGTGGGGGTTGGAAAAAGGGCTTCGAAGCTCGATCGGGCTATCGATTCCAGTGGATCGGCTGTGCGGCCTCTGCAGCATGCGTATCTGGCCTGGGGAGGCCAGCGTATCTGTCCGTGCAAAAGAGGAAAAATGAACCGAATCCAACCAAGGCCAGCATATCTGGCCGTATCCACTGGGTGGACGAACTGGGCCAGGCGAGAAGTGGGCCAGCAGCGGAGCAGCTGGAGAAAGATTACAAGGCAGAGAGAAACAGCGAACATGTTTGGAAGACCTTTTTCAAAATTCCAGCTTAGAAGATCCATGAAATCAGAATCAACGCTGGAATCAAGTGGAGTAAAGGGGCGTCGTCTTGGACGCACACCATCAAGAACATCGTCACATCTTCATCTCTTTTTGTGCTTCCGTCGCCAGGTCTTCCGGTCCACCGGACCTTTTTTCCATCCTACCAGATCCAGGTCGAACGGAGGTGTTTCGGTACGACACCACCGAGGTTTTGCCCGAACTACCTGGGGGGATCTGCCGACAGCCCTTCGTGGAACGGATGCTCCTGGACCCTGCCCTTAGCGATAGGGAGACCGTCTTCTTTTTCTCGCCCGTTGATTTGGGTCTTTCCGGGTCGATGGGTCGTTCACCTCCCGAACGCGGAACGTTGGGGGCGACCGGTCCTCCGATCCAGCCTCCGTTCACAGGCCGACCGGTCCGCTGGAAAACCCGAGGAATTGGAGACTTCCAGGGATTCTGGGTCCGGACCCTACTGAACGGAGGGTCCAGGGTCGCGTTTGGGTCAAAAAACACACACTTGGGCCCTCCATGGCAGGGGTCCAGCCTCAAAACTCTATTTGAGGGGCCCGATTCTTAGGGAAAAAACAAATTACACCACAAGTGTTGACAGAAACAAAGGATACCATGATAATCCATGATACTCATGATATCCAGGGCTCTTCAAGATCTATACCTGAGACCCTCCAAGAATACCTTAGAGCATCGGGCATACTCCGAAAGAAAAAGTAAGCAGGTACGACCTGAAACCCATTGAACCCGAGGTACGAACGGGTCGACTCCTGGTAGATGTTTGTTTAAATTGTTAAGATCCTTAGATCCTGCTGGATCTGTAGGGTCGATGGTACCAGTTACCAGTCTTGTATCATATGGTTCATGCTTCTAGCAGGTCCCAAGTGGTCCAGGTCGACTCTGCTGCTTCTTTCGCCCACTTTCGGACCTACCAACGGCCAGCGATCCACATCTGGACGTCGCGATCGGTGCTTCACCGGCGATCGAGATCTCATCGTGGCCTCGGCGACGATTAGATAAGTCCGGCGTGTGGAGTGAGAACAATCAGGAACAGTCATGGAGGAACCATCTTTGGTTGTTTGGGTCTTGGATTGAATTTATAAAACAACAAGGAGCTGTAAGTAATACCTTCATGTGAACACAAGTGATGAAAACTTCAGTTCTTCAGTTCGTGCCCCACAGTGAGTCTCCAGGTTCAGGTCACACAAAAAGACTTCAAGTTGGGTCGCTGGCTGGGATCATCAAGTTCCGTCACCAACTGATGAGGCACTCGACCGTATATGTGGGTGTTGTTGCATGTTGGTTCTTCTTAATCTTTTGCGATCACACGAATGCACATGTTGATTTCCAAGCATCTCTTGCTCAAACGATCGACCCCACCGGGGGTGTTTCCGGTCACTGGAGGAGAATCTCACCCGTCCACCGTTCGCAAGGTTCCACCGAGTGGATGACATGAAGAAGACTGAGAAGACGGGAGCAAAGAAGATCAAACAACCAGCTGACCAGCTTCTTCATTTTTGTGGCCAACCCTTGAGCGTCCCTCTGATAGTGACCCTTTAAGAAGGGTTTCTATGGTGAATTTCAGATCTGAAAGGGTGTGAAGAACCAGGAAGGGGCGTCATTTCTTGTTCTTGCTGCACACGGGCCTGTCTCTCGAGCTCGCTAGCGTCGCTACTCGTGAAAGATTTGAGGGTGTTCACTTCACCCTGGCCCTCTACACTGAGGTAAATCGGTAAATCCTTCTCGGCCTTTTGGCTATGATCAAAGCATGGGCTTCCTGGTTCTTCCATGACCGAACTTGATCCCCTGGTTGGTTCAGTCACAAACAGGCCTCCAAAGGGTCCTAGGCACCTAATGACTTAGTAGGTAGGAGTGAAACAAGTTTTTGCAATACGAGCTTTTGAAAAGGGATGGTAAGGGATGGTGGCCTGGAGACCCCATGTTTGGAGGGAGGCTATGTCTTTGCTCTGCCTGGAAGACTTTCGCTCGAGGGGTCTTCATCGCCACATCAAAAAGGCCAGGGATGGCGCTAAGATACAACCGTCCTGGAGCAGATAGAATGTGAGCCAATCCAAAAACATTATGCAGTTTCATTTGTTGTTGGGTTTGATTTTATTTGTTCAGGTTCTATCTATTCCAGGATGACTATGCCAGGATCCCGCGATCTGCATCATTGACCTAGATGCACTTACCCGGGGCCCCACAAAGCATCATAAACCGGGCTTTCCCAGCAAAAAACGGTGTTTCGTGTGTGAAAACCTGTAAATGTTTCATGGCAAACCGGCCGGGCCACTGGTATACCACACCGGACGATGCTTTTTTCCCGTCCCTTCAGACTCCAGTCACCGCTCCAGCGCAGTGCTTCCAGCGGGATCTGTTCATGGGTTCCTGCCAACGAGGCGAACGGAAGGCCGTCCGGTGCCGATGGGGAAACCGAACCGCGCCTCGTCGACCGCGCCGCGAACCGGGTGTCCCGTGAAAAAGAAAGGTGTTCACACACCAAAACGATGTTCCAGGAGTCACAGAGCTCGAGTACCTGGTGTGAAACGTCCCCAAGCACGTGAGTGGATGTGACGTTCGGGCACCTCAAGCCTAACCTCCATGGATCGCACCCCGAGCTCTGTGACTGCTGGTGGTTTTTGCGAAGGAAAACCAGGTGTGTCATGGGACCTGTGCGGCGTACCAGGAGCCATCGTGAGGGCCGGTGGGTCGCAGGAGATATGGAACAGGAACGGGAAGACAACCGCATCAACAAGCAAGGATGTCAATCTAGAGTCTGGTTGACGCACGATGTTCACCAAGGTTCCATTGGACACAGGAACCTTCTTTTGGGTGGATACCAACCTGAAACCATCTCAGACCATGTTAGACTTCTCCAAGTTCTTGGTCAATCCGACCATCCGCAGGGGTGATCCGGAGAGCTGAATCCATTTCCGGGAACAACCATCCGCCATCCAACTACACTCCTGAAAAAGATCATTCAAGGCCCTTGGATTACAATTTTCCTCTACGAACGGATTGTTCTGCACTTCCATGTTTCACGGAATGTACCTCCTATCTTGGTACCTCCATATCGGCACCACACGCTGCCCCAAACGCGCTTAATGCGCCCAACAACCAGCTCCACCCGACCACCAGACCACCAGTGCGGTGGGACGCTCCTGACGGTGAAGTTCAAGGTGGGAATGGGATCAGGAGCCTTCGCAGTCTGCATCCTCAGATGACGAAAACAGGAGACCGGTGTCAGACCGAGCGTGGAACAGCTGAACACGGTGACCGTCCCATCCCCCCTTCCCGCGCAAGGACTTGACCAGCAGATTGGACGCTCTGATCAGAGACCCTTCCGTGCTGCTGGGTCCCCAGTTCCCATGACGTGTTCACGGCTGCACAGCTGCGTGCCCAAGCGGGACCAGCAGGACGGCATGCACTGATCTATCCCCAAGAAGTGCACGGATCAAAACCCATCAAGCACCTGGTTGATTGTGTCCTCTCCTTCGCCAAGGCCATGGCGGGAACATCTCAGCTGTTTCTTTTTCCGAATAGAGGCAGAACTGCCTCTTCCAGGCTTTCTTACGAGAGATGTCTACTGAGACTCGGTCATACTCAAACTTAGTTCACTACTTTATCAGTTGTGTCCTTTCCACAGGACGAAAACTTGGTTTTAATCGTGTTGCTTGTGCACATGTGATCCACATGCACACCCTAAGTCCTAATGATGAGGGGGGCTTCTGAACCACACAAAATATAGAGTCAATACTGCTAAAAATGCCAACCAACCCTTGTGAAACTCAATGATCATTTGAGAACCCCATGAAACCTTTTTGAGGGACAGTACGGACAACCCCATGTGTGGCATGAGAACCCCATCAAACCCCATGTTTAAACGATCAGTAGTCAGTACGCTTCGCTGTGAGGATCCACAGAGTTCGATGTTCTG